TGAACGTCTCCAGGGATGGAGCATCCACCTATCATGAGTTTAATGTTATAAATTACTGTTTTTAAGAATAATAGAACTGACCTGGAGCTCCCCAGCTTTTTATCATAAAAATAGTCCTCATAGTTACCGCATTTGGTAGAATCCCCAAAGCAAGGGGAGGACTCCGGCGCATTGAAGAAGGAGGAGATGTTGGCCAGATTCATTCTCCAGGTGGACAACCAGGCGATATGAAATGGAAGCCTTGGATTTGCTACCTCGACACCTTGTTAATTCTAATTAATCCCCTCGTGCTCTCAAACTCTGGCGAATCCTTTGCGTGACGAAGCACGACAGGGGTGGGGATGGAAAACGGATCGAAATTCCCCCGTGGCGATAGGTCAAAGTCTTGCTTTGTTCTATATTTAAACATCCATGGTGGTGATAACGTTATCAAACACCAAATAAAACCACTGCCTTCTGCTTCCTCCTAGTCATTTCCTTTTCTGTACTTATTTTGAAGCTGTGCAAGGACAGGTGACGTCCCCAGACTCTCCATCAGGTGCCCAGGCATCCCTGAAAAAACAGTAATTACTAAAAGAAATAGCCTTTTTAATGAATCCATAGTATTAAAATGATAATACCAGAAGGGGACACACTGGGATTTATTCATGCTACGCATTATTATAAAATATTTGAATTATTCATCTGAGCCTCCACCAGGTTGTTGTGTTTATTTTTCACACTGATGTCTGGTACAGATTAACATCAGGAAAATAGGAATTTATGTTTCGAGTAAGTTTAGAGTGCCAAATATCTTTTTTTTATCCTTTTTTTTTTTCTTCTTCTTCAATATTTCATGTCCAAGTAGACCGAGAAGCATTCACATTTGCTACTGGAGGTACTTTCTTGGTTCCACTGGTCATTGTTATTTGTCTGTGGGCAGCCTAACCTTAAAATATACGGGCTGAAAGAAAATAAATCTGATCTGCAATCTCGAATAGGGATTTGCACAGACTTTTGTTTGAAATCATTTGTGTGGCAGCTGCTTGTGCTTGTCCATCATGAGATGGACAGGTCTGATGGGAAACCTGCATTGCTATCAGGAGAAAGAGAGATAAGTCCTCCAGAAGTATATGCTTAGTTGTACTCAACCTTAATTGATTTTTGGGGGTTTTTTGCAAGTTTTAGTCATTTCTGCTCAGCCCAGATTTTACCTGAACTTTTTGTCATGTCGTCGTTCCCTGTGTGTCACTTCACTTCTCTCCCGGCTCCCCTGTAACACCCTGGTTCGATTTAGGTTGGGTAATATCAAATAATCAACTTCAAACAGTTGAGCTAAAGTCCATATGCCATTTATTCAAAACAAAACAAAACAAAAAACCCACCCAAGAACAAAAAAACAAACTCTAACCCCAAAACCAAAAATGTTTTGATCACTTTCAGTCTGCCATAAATGCAGAATTTCTTTCTGCTTTGAGCTGTGGTCAAACCACGTAGCGAAGGCAGCTCCCTGGAGCACCAGTTCAATAAATAACTGGGCAGCTCTACTTGGTAGATGAGAAAAAATGTGGTTTTTTTATTTTCTGTGGCTCATTCAGGTCTTTGTACCCTCGCTCCCTGAGGATTAGACAGCAACCATGGGCTTCATGCAAAGCTAATAATTAGAAGTCTCGGTGCGAAATGCAGACCAGCGCCTTTGGAAAAAGAAAAGTTTCATGTGGGCTTGGGAATGCTGGTGGCTGTGGGGGAATAAGAAGCCACAAATCTGGGAACCGAAACCCCAAGTGGATTTAAAGAGATAGGGAAATATGTGCATATGTGTCTGGATGCTGAAGAACTCACGATGAAAACTTTGACCGTAGACGGTTGGACTCTCATTTATTAGGGCTGGTTTCTTAACCATTCAAGGTTATGGTCTGTGGCCTGGGAAAAGTGTGGAAGGTGCCATATCTCATATCAGCCCGTGTTTCTGTTACCAAGAAAATATAAAAATAGACATTATAGTAAATAAATTGCAACTGCATGAATGTTGTCTCCTAACCTAAAAGGCGAGCTGGATTTCTGGTGGGTCCTGCTGATAGACAAGCCACTCGTCTGCTGGCTGAAGCCAAATTCCTACCAGAAAATCAAAACAGAAGTTGCCAAATGTCACCTCTTACTCTAAAGGGGGAAAAGCATTTAACTGGAAATATTATTGTGAGCAACTGTCGGGGAATTTAGCAAACTACGAGGCCTGGTAGGTCAATGATGAGGTTCCTTTCTCGTTCAGTGGTGACTAAGAAAGGGATGGCCAAGTTGGAAAGGATGGCTGCCTTCCAGCTGTCTTTGGGGTGGGTACGGATCCCTCAGAGCGGGCTGGGGATGGCTCAGGGTTCAGAAGTTACCAGGGGAACGCCGACGAGCAAGCAAACAACTCCCCTCAACCTCGGTTCAGGAAATCAGGCTAAAAATAAGTTGCTGAGGCTTAAGGTTAAAAGTAAAGACGTGACCAAGCAGTGGTGTTGAAAAGCCAGCTCCACTCATCCTCTACAAACATCCAAGGATTGCGTTTCCCTGCCAGAGCCCGGGCAGTTGTTACTAGCTAGAGCAAAAGGCTTTGTGAAAGTTCTACGTTGGGTAGCAAGGTCTTCTGACCTGAGAGTAGCGCTGACGGTTGGGTTTTCCCTAAAACACTGGGAGGTTTAGAAATGGCTTTTCAGTTCAGCAATAGGCCGAGTATTTCGAAACCTGCTTCATCCTGAAGCGAAGCTGATGACTGAAGAGGTGAGAGGAATTATTTGAAGGTGGGATGGTGGGATTGCTAGGTCTCCATGCGGTTGGACTGTCACGGTTTGGCGGGGGGATGCGCCCGTCTTCTAACCACTGCGTTCACCTACTTTCCCCAAGGTCCAGTTGAAAAGCGAAGAATCAAAAACGTTCGCCATGAAAATACTGAAGAAACGTCACATCGTGGACACGAGGCAGCAGGAGCACATCCGCTCGGAGAAGCAGATCATGCAGAGCGCGCACTCGGACTTCATCGTGAGGTACGGTCCCTCCACCTTACGCACAGCCCATCTCGGCGTTTCATAAAACCACGTAGGAATAATCCATCCATCACCAGAAAAACCCTTCAGCCATAGCTTTCCTGCAAGGGACTGCAGATCCAGTGGATGGAATAAGGTCTTCTCCAGGCAAACGTGAGATTACTCTGCCCATGAGGGCCACTCAAGCCTAAACTTAACTCATGTCTTAACTGGTTTGCGTTGGCCCCGTGCCGTGCTCACATGGCTTTGTGGCTCCTGGAACAAGCTTGCAGATGCTGGCAGGTGATGCTCCATGTAGATATATGGCACCATGACTTGCTCAAGGTTAATTTTCCTTTTTCTTCTGAATTTCTGAGTTTTCCTTCCCGCAAAGGGAAGCTGGAAAGCTGGATTTAATCTCTTGAGATCATGCGAATAAAGAGTTGTATCCAACTGTTTAGGATGGATTAGATAAATCCAGTTGAGCGTCCCTTGACTTATCATGGGCAAATGCACTCAAACCATATCCCACCTCCAAACCTAAGCAAGTGTGAATAAAATCAGGTGCCCGACGTTTTTATTTGTTTTATCCTTAATAGCAAAGTTCTCTGGCTCTTCAAGGTTTGCGAGTATCTGTCAG